CAGGGAGCAGCCCAGAGTGGAGCTGGCCCTCCTGACCAGCTTGTTCAGTCTGTTTGTGTCCCGCTCTGTGCTGCCCGGGGCCCAACACATGGCAGCGTAGTAGATGGCAGAGGCTACCACAGAGTCATAAAAAGTCCTGAGCAGAGGCCTGCTCACTCCGAAGGACCTCAGCCTCCTCAGAAGGAAGAGGCGACTTTGGCCCTTCTTGTGCAGGGCGTTTGTATTATGGGACCAGTCCAGTTTATTGTTGATGTGAACACCCAGGTACTTGAAGCTGTCCACCAGCTCAATGTCCTCCCCCTGGATGTTCAGCAGCGTGTGGGAAAGTGGTTTTCTCCTGAAGTCGATGACCATCTCCTTGGTCTTACTGGTGTTCAAGCACAAGTGGTTGAACACTTGGTTGAAGGACAAAGTCCTTGATAACCGACCAATATTCCAGTTCGTTCCCCTCAGACACACAGCCCACGATGGCGGAGTCGTCGGAGAACTTCTGAGCTGTGTGTGTCGTGTGTGAAGTCTGAGGTGTAGATGGTGAAGAGAAACGGTGAGAGGACAGTGCCCTGAGGGGCCCCAGTGCTGCAGACTACCACCTCAGACTCAGAGCTGCGCAGCCGCACGTACTGTGGTCGGTCTGAGAGGTAGTTGATGGTCCATGCAGTGAGGCTACTGTCCACTCCCGCGTCCTCCATCTTCCCCTGCAGCAGTGCCGGCCTGATGGTATTGAAAGCGCTGGAGAAGTCGAGGTGGGAGAGCGTCCGCTGCAGGAAGTAGATGACGGCGTCCTCTACTCCGATGTTGGGTCTGTAGGCGAACTGCAGCGGGTCCAGGGTGGGGCTGACCACGGAGCGGAGATGGGTGAGGATGAGCCGCTCCATTGTCTTCATCAGGCCGGAGATGTTCTTTAGGCCTCTCCACACGTCGCGGGCGTTTCCCTGGGCCAGCTTCTGCTCCAGCTTTTTCCCATAGTCCTTCTTGGCCCTCCTGATCCTCCACTGGAGCTCGTGCTGGATCCTCTTCTGCTCCTCCCTGTCCCCTGAGATGAAAGCCCTTTTCTTGAGGTTCAGGAGGGCTTTAAGCTCAGGGGTCACCCATGGGTGGTTGTTAGAAAAACACCGCACCTTCTTAGTTGGTACAGTGTTATCCACACAGAAGAGAATATAGTCAGTAATGCAGTGTGTCAGGCTCTCGATGTCCTCACCATGAGAGCTGCAGATCATTTCCCAATCAGTGTTTTGAAAACAATCTCTCAGCATCTCATCCACATCATCGCTCCACACTTTTAGAATCCTCTTCTGCGCTGGATTTCTTCTCACCACTGGTGTGTATTCCGGAGACAGACGGACCAGGCTGTGATCAGAGCGTCCGAGAGGGGGGAGGGGGGAGGAGGCGTATGCGTCCCGCACATTAACATACAGTAGGTCCAGAGTCTTATTGCCACGAGTTGGGCACGTGACATACTGTTTGAATGTCGGGAGAGTGGCGTAGAGGGAGGCGTGGTTAAAGTCTCCGCTGATCAGAATCAGAGCGCGGGGACTGCGGGTCTGGATCTGGGTCACAGTTCTGTGTATCTCCTCACATGCTGCGGCTGCTGACGGGGGAATGTAAGCACATTTATACATTTAAAACATTTGTGACATTTATGAACCCAAACTATGTTACTGGACAAAAGTGCATTGTAAAATTGCACAAACACCCAGTAAAAAAAAACCAACCCCATTTTACAAGAACAGGCTAATTCTCACGAAGCTGAAAATAATCATATTCATCTTCTTTTTATTGCGTGGTGTTCTGAAACGTGTAAAACGCTATCAAAGCTCTCTCCTACATCAGCAGAGATGTTGGAGAGCGCGTTGGAACGATGGCGGAGGCTTCCAGCTGTACTTGAGAGTGGCTTTCATTACAAAGGCTCTGGCCCCTGCAGCACACATCACACACTGCTCATTATCCACTGGGTCCTGGATGGGGCTGTCCCGCTCTGCACGGCCAGATCTCTGCCCTCTGCCAGCCTCTGTGCTCCAAAAACACTGCACTTATTTATTTATTTACCACACATGCATTGTTTAAAATTATAATCAAGTGTATTTTTGTGGCTGTCCAAACTTTTTTATATACTGAAAGTTGCAACTTTCCTGATGGAAGATTTTTTTCACTTTGGTCCAGGTTTGAAATGGTTGTTGTTTTGCCTGGAATGTTCCACAGTGTTATTATTTTCCAATTTGTCGATGTACATTGGAGACCTGTTACTTCATTTGGCTAGCTTACAGGTTATATCTGGGAAGAGGCAAGCTGAGCCACAGTGTAAGAAATTCCATATACTGAGGTACATTCCTAGAAAAGCCATAATATCTCCAAAGACGGAACCTTTGCAACAATTGATAGATAGATAGATAGAGTACCTTTTTAATCACCGTAGGAGAAGGCAAAAAGTCAAAACATATATTTCAAAAATGCCGTATACGATCGGTAGCTAGAAGAGTAGTGGCTTTCTCACATTTCTTGGGTAATTGGTATTTGTTATAGAGGTATTTTGTAAAACATCAATGCCAAATACTTGACATAAGACATATTTTTGCTAGAGAAATTTCCGTCAAGCTGCAGCCTCACTCTGATTCCACCGCCTGTAATCAATAACTCATTGAAGGATCATGCTTTTGTCCCTGTGTGGTGCATTTCCTAATTACACCCATTGCATCCACACAAATCAGTCTGTCTCTGGGTTAGCTGCTAAATTGTTTGAAGATTAAGCTCAATCCTTGACCTCTAAAATGGAAGGATTGGCTGCAGGTATTCTACAGATAAATATATGATAGCTTAGTTGTATTGATCTTGGCCTGGGATATTAGGCTTTTCATAATCAATAAGTCTTGTGGTATCGTTCCCAATTTCTGCTGCTTTACTGGACATTTACCCGTTCGATCAAATGAACGGTGATCTATTACTTACAAGGAATGGGAGTGCAGTTTTTTCAAATTACCAAGGCAAGGCAAACGTATTTTGTATAGCACAGTTCATACACAAGGAAACTCAAAGTGCTTAACAAAACAAGATTATAAACATTCACAAAAGGCTTTAAAATAACTCGTACATAATCAAAGTACATTCAAAAGATTAATCCGTCAATCTTATGTACAGCGGAAAATAACAGTTTTTAACCTGGGTTTGCGCAATGTTAAAGCCTGTCTCAGATTTTCAGGAAGGCTGATCCATATTTTAGCTGCATCAATCTGAAACACTGCCTCCCCATGTGTATTCCTGACTCTGGGCACCAGTAGGAGGCGAGTCCCTGTGCTCCTCAGAGTCAGAGTTGGTTCATATATCACTAACATGTCACAGATGTACTTTTAGTGGGAGGCCATGGAGAGACTAGTACACAAGCAGAGCTGCTATAGACTATTCACTCATCCAAAATAGCCAGTGCAGAGACCTGAGAACTGGACTAATGTGTTGCCAAGATAAAAACAACTAAAAATATCAGCTTTTGGAAGGATATATACCCATCCATTCATATGTTTTAGTTAACCAAAGTGACTGATCTGCCCTATCACAATACAATACAATACAATTTATTCTTGTATAGCCCAATATCACAACAGAAGTCATCTCAGAGGACTTCCATTGAACCACCAACACAGATCAGAGAATCAAGAGTTAAAACACAAAGAATATAGAACACAACATGTATGAAAAATGTCCATACATGTTGTAGAATGTTAAAGTGTCCTGGATCATCACCACATCCTTCTAGTTAGACACTAACTGCCTAACAGACCCTCCTGCATCGGCAAGGAAAAAGTCTTAAAAAACCCAGTGGGAAAAAAGTGAGAAGCCTCGGGGAGACCCTTTTTTTTTACAGTTTGAGAAAGGGATCCGCTCCCACGGACGGACAGGCTATAGATCCAGGACCTAAGCTACAGAACGTGGACAGGTCCGGTGCAGGACTGAAGCACTCCCAGGTGGGTTGGGCGGGGCAGTCCGCAGGTGTAGATGGAGAAGGCCAGGCTCAGAGGTCCCGTCGACGTACCATGAAACGGACAATGGGACAACGGGTGAAAAGAAATGAACAAACTACAGTCAAAAGTCTAATAATGCAAAACTGATAAAAGTAGGAGGGAGGAGAGGGTATAGTGCTCAAGTGACCATACTTCTCCCAGCAAACTGACTCCCTATGCAGCTTGACTGACTGTCTAAGATAGCCAATCTAACTACCAAACATGATTGTGAATGCTACACGGTGTGGTAGGGATGATGTCAACATGATTGGTTTTCAGGGGTTGGACTGCCTTAAGACCATTGGACTTTGGGTCTTATGGAGTTGTATTTATCTATCACACCTTCATTATATCTGGATTTTGGTTGTTGAGATCTGTTCTGCATTGTCTGAGGTTTAAACTTCAGCTCATGGATCTGGGATTGTCACCTCGATGGTTTGGTCGGGGGTCTTTGTCTCTGGTACGAAGGATTGCGTGTTCCATAGTAGAACAAAACAAAAACAATAGAATGGCCAAACCAACTGCTGGGTCATCTGTGCACATACACAGAAAATGTCACAATAGTAATTGTCAAAACATCATTATCGGAAAGCTTGGGGACAAAGTACTTCTGGCTGAGACTGAAAACAATTTTACACTGAGGGCGACAATGGTCTTTGCAACTATTTCACACAAGAAATCTGGATGTGTGTTTCCCTACAAGCCACATCCTCTCCGCCTCCAAACTCCCTTGTGAGAACGCAGTGCCCTTTATGTGATGATAACCAGCCTTGTTTTGTCTCATTCAATATTATGGCCACTCACAAAAGCCTATCAACTGTGCACAATGTGTCACACTGTCTGCGAATGGACGACTTTTACCCGGCACTCGGAACGCTTTCAAGAAAAAAAAAACCCTTATCACTTGCTGACAGTCATCTTCAAAGACAATTTAGCTTGTTTGAACCAAAACCCAGACAATACCACACAATATTTGGCACTGATTTTCCCATTATCCAGCTGAGTGGGATGTCAGCGCGAAGACTGGCTCAGATCAATAGCGTTGGTGTTGTTCAGAGCTGGACTTGTCAGATCCAGACCTTGTAGCAGCTGCAGAGGTTTGGGAGTTTTGCCTCCGTAATGGGGAGTGATCATGCTCCGTGAATATGGCGCTCCCTGGACGTGTAAGGTTATCACGCTCACGCTCTGCTCCTGCGCATTACACCATGAATGTGCTGTTATGTTAAGTCGACTCCAGTGAGGGGTGAAAGAGCGCCTCAAGACATGTCTATGAATGAGACTGAGGGAAGTAGACAGCCGTGGAAGAGTGGAGCGTGTTCCAAGAAACCAAGAGAAAGGACTGAGAACAGAGTCCGGTCAAGTATACTTAACAAATACCTACAATCTCATATTTTCTTTTTATTTGAAATGATATCTACATCTTTTAAATGTTTCCTCAGAAAATGGGTCAACGGATCAATCACTTTCCTGTTTAAAATGTGTGAGTGATACATTATGTTCAATGTATACTTAATTATGTATGAAAGCAGCGCATTTCATGGACCAATGTCACACAAAGCGCTTTAAAATTCTTGGAAACAAAAGGTGCATTGTATTTTTAATTACTTTACACAGACTGTCAATTGTGTATATTACATACTGTCCCTTTAAAGCCGTACTAACTCACTTTCTTTGTTTCATAAATACATAATGTGTGTTGTTTAAGTGACATTTTGTGAATACATCAGATCACAACATGCTGTATTTATCTGATCAAAAACATGTTATCTTTTGCATACTGAGAGATGATTGGCTGAGTGAGGGCTGGTCTTCCATTTTATGCTGAAAAAGCTGATTTAAAGATTTGTTAGAGGCTAAATATACATGCAGGTGAAAACCAGGGAATGAACCAAATCCTTTTGAGAGCTGTAGTTACATGGATTTCATCACACACTGTTGTTATGGTTTTGCAGGTTCTACAGTTTTAATCAATTTGGGTTTCTACTGACAAAGCTTATCTTATCTAATATTACATTTGGTGCTCTATAGACCAAATTGAACGTAACATGTTATGGAGTCGATTATTATGAAGTAGACTTTTAAGTTCCTCTCGAATCATGTCTGGTCGAAATGCATCGGTATAAATATAATTTATCTAATTTAAAGACAAGAATGCCTCCTCTCGACAGTGTTTCCATGACACTGACATTCAATCTAAATTGATTTCAATAAACACTTTTCAATACCACACTGAGGCTTATTTTATGTACACTTGAAAATTACAATATTGCTCAAAAGTTCATAATTTTTTTTTGTATTTCAACCTACAGTGAAGGTTGAGTAGAATGAGTCAATTGCTAACCTTGATGTATCTCACTGAACAGGATTTCACATGCTTGCTCTGTGATTGGCTTGACTATTTGCAAAGTTAAATTCAATTAAACTAAATCATCTTTTGTAAACCCCTAAATCACAGCAGTTGTCGTCTCAAAGGACTTTAAAATGTTGTCAATTCCTCAACAACAGATCAATATAATCAAGCAGTTCAAACAAAGGAAATGCAACAATAACAAACACATAGGAGCCATTGGTCCATATTGGGCGGATGACCAATGTCCTGGATCATCATCATCGGTAAGAAGCACAAACTCAAACTCAAAAACCTGGTGGAGAAAACCTCAAGGAGGCCCACATTGAGAGAGGGATCCGCCTCCCAGGTCGAGCTGAAAGGATGTTTTAAGCCCAGCCTTAAAGGGGACATGTCATGAAAAATCCACTTTTTGTGTCTTAAATGCCTTATGTTGTGTAGTTGGAGCCTCTAGAAGTGCAAAAAAGTTGAAATCAGTCTCTTCATGGGTTGCAGAGAACACTTCATATTCTGTTTAGGTAAGATATTTCAACCCGTTCTGATTTTGCCATTCTCTATTACGTGTTAAGAATTATTACGTCACAGTGTTTGCAGCAAGTATGCTATATAAGGGCATGGGCGTCTAACAAAACACTTCGGCCCAGCCCTCTTCTACTGTGCATCACTTCGAATTTGTAGTCCAAGCTCAAGGATGCCAGCGAACAGGGCATATTTGGGCCGGTCTGTCTGCCTCATACAAAACACATGTTTATGAGAAGTGTAAATCCGTTGAGAATTTTTTTGAGCGGGGCGCTGTCAATATGCATTTCAGTCTTTTTTGACCAATTCTCATCCCTGTAACAAACAATAGTGTTGTCTGTGTCCACCTCCCTCACTCTGAGACATGTTTATTACTCTCTTGTAATGTAGACTATTGCATTTTATTTTATTGTTGAAACTGCACTTATCCTTATCCTCTACAGCAGCCATTCCCAAACTCAGTAACACCGAGGCCCCCTTAAAAATCTGACGGGTCTGCGTGGCCCCCCAAAATAATAACCAAGAAGACAACATTAAGAATAGGCTCTTCTGGTTATTTTATTTTGGGGAAATAGCCTCTGCTACAAACATTGTAATACAAAAATGATTACAGTGGATTATTCAAGTCAAATAATGAACACAAATATTTTAATATTACAAACAAAACATTATAAATTTAACATTAAATAATTATATTATTTTTTTATTTTTTTTATGACCTCCCGCGGCCCCCCTGCAGTACCCTCGCGGCCCACCAGGGGGCCGCGGACCCCACTTTGGGAGACACTGCTCTACAGTATTTGCTTCCACATAATGTATAAACTAGGAGTCGGCAACCTGCGGCTCCAGAGGCGCATGCGTCTTTTTCCTTCTGTAGAAGGAAAAACTTTCTTAACGGTTTTAAATGCTGTAAAATTGTGCATAAGTAATATTCAATTTAAACATTTCTGTCAACGTAGTGTGTCATATCCTGCGACGTAGGCCCGCGCCAGTTGGCCGCTGTTGTAAACAAACCGGCGTGTGAGCATCATAGACTGTGCGCATGGATCCCAAAGCTAAAAAGAGAAGAGTCGATAATAAGACTGGACTAAGAATGAAACTTAACATTTGCTTTCAGTCAATGAGGAAGGACTGCTTCATGTTTGCGATGTAATGAGAAGTTTCTATGAGATAATTGTATCTGTGCTTAGTAACTACAAAAATGGCCGCTCGGGGTGGAGTTGAACCTGTGTCACCTGGATGGGGGCGTGGTCAAAAGCGCCTCATTTGCATTTAAAGAGACAGCACCAAAACAGGTTGCTCTCAGACGCACCTCAAAAACGGTGTAGAAGAAAGGCCCGTGGAGCTACAAATAATGAGACTCAGACCCAGGCATTGCAGTTACGTTTTATATAGGCCACAAATTAAGGATTTAGATGTAAAAATCAATTATTTGAAAACATGATATGTCCACTTTAAACGTAGAAACTCTGTCTGGTTCCTCGACATGGACGGAGAGCTGATTCTACAGTATAGTAGCTTTAATGCACAGTTTAATACATTGGTGATGAAATGTTTGTCTTCTTCATACCAGTTATTTCGTTGTGTTGAAATAAATATCCAGTTGCATCGACAATCAAAATGATTGTGATGTTTTTCCTTTCTTGTATCGCCCACCATAAGCCCCATATGTGCAACTCAACAAAAATATCATTGCTTCCCCGTCTCCATGCACACCTTTAACATCTTTTATGTGGTGTAACTAAACCTGTCACACACACACTACACACCTTGACACACTTTTGCCATCTGCGTAATGTTTGAACCCCGTTGACTGAGTGGAAAGTGCACACGAGGCGACCGGTGCTCTCTAGCTGCACAGATGCTGCAGCAGATGAGATGGGAGATAAGGAGGAGCCACACCAGGAGAGAGCGATGGCACGCGAGCACATCTCCGACAGGCAACACGATCACTGACTGAATGGGAAAACTTCCAAAAGAAACACTCGGATATCTATTGAGCTTTGGAAACTTCCTCTCGTTTGTCAACAAGACGAGCGTTTCAGTGTCAGCGCTCAACCTTTGTATGTGACTGAGTGATGTGCCAGATCTGAGGACATTTTTTAGTGGATTTAAAATTTAAACCTGACCGTGTTGCAGTGTTGTTTTCTCATTTTGTTGTCATTTACACGCTCAAAGTATTTTTTGTGTGTGGCCCGTTGCTTATTCATCCATCCATCCATTTTCTTCCGCTTCATCCGTTATCGGGTCGCTTGGATGGGAGTCTAAGAGACGCCAAAACTTCCCTATCCACACACACTTCCTCCAGCCTATCCGGGGAGAGAGTTAGTCCCTCCAGCGTGTCCGGGGTCCCAAGGAGGCGTCCAGGAGGCATCCAGAACAGAAGCCCGAGCCACCTCAACTGGTTCCTCTTGACGTGGAGAAGCAGCGGCTCTGCTCCGAGCTCCTCCCGTGTGACTGAGCTCCTCACCCTATCTCTAAGGGAGCGCCCAGCCACTCTGCGGAGGAAGCTCATTTTGACCGATTGTATTCGTGATCCCGTTCTTTTGGTCACTACCCAAAGCTAATGACCATAGGTGAGGGAGGGAACGAAGATCGGCCCCGTTGCTTATGAGTTTCATTCTTATACTTTTTTACCTTGTTTTGTGCACACTGGGGACTTTTGCAAATGTATTCCCATGTGGTTTTACTGCAAATGCCAAATTAAATGAATCTGAATCTTCTCTCCGTTTTCTAATCTCTACATCACAGGCTTACACTTTACATCTTCTTACTTAACCTCAGATCCACCTTCAGGAATCCGATACAGGGATGATTTGGCAGCATTCCTTCGGCATCATAGACATATTGCTCAATGAAAAAAAAAATCTGCTAAATTCATATGGAGCTTCTGATGTGGTGGCTGATTTTGCATAAACAGAGGAGCGCTGAAAACATCAACATCACTTCACAGACAGACACCAAAAGACAAGACTCATAAAAATACAGCTACACCAGTGTTTCACCAACGCCACCCCTGAAAACAGAAATGAGCATACTTGTTTATTTTACATCATTGTTTTTGATCCAGTTTTTATATTTCATAATGAACCAAACTCATACTGTAATAAAGAGTCAGGGGTGTTATGAATTAGAGATTTATTAGGCCCGAGCGCTAGCGCTCGTCAATCACCAAGAACCCAATAGCTGCGTCCGCCTGGTCGTTCGCTTTAAAACAATGTATCATTTGTATTATAGGTTACTATAATGATTTTCAAAAAAAGTTTGGTTTGGTTTCTTTTTTCTTCTGCACTTTGAACCTTAATTTGACCCCCTGAACATTGATGAAAAGTTGTGAAATTTTTGCCAAAATTCAGAACCGGCGAAAAATTTATTTTTTGGGTGTTTATTTTTATGGGACTAAAAAAATGCCCGAACAGCGCCCCCTACAAAAGTCAGTTTACATTGCGCCCATGGAAGCAGATCGGAGATCAAGTTTGTCGTAGAGCCACAAAATTTGGTACACATGTTCCTCAAGTCAAGACATGAAAAAAAAGTTATTATGGCTCCGCCCCCTGACAAACAGGGAGCTCATTAATTTCAATGGGAAATGGAAAAATGAAAGACAATATTAGTCGCCTCACCTTGGAGCTCCGTGAGAGCGACCGTGCCACCATTGCAGATCTACGAAAAGAAGTCCTTCGTCTCACCGCAGAGTTGAATGAGAAACAATCTCTAGTATCCAAACTTTTTGAAGTCGCTGGTGGGCAGCACTCACGGCTGATGTCACTGAGCGCTGCATATTGTGACACTGTCGTGTGGGAGAGATCCGTCAGCTCTGGACCCTCTTGTTCTACACCTAAGCGCCCGCTTACGAATAACGAGCCCGCGGATTCCGAGGAGCCATCCTGCGCCGTGGCCCATGTCCTGAGTCTGGCAAACCGCTATGCAGCCCTCTCCACCGACATCCCGGCCCCCTCAGCAGAATCCCTGGACACTGCAGCAAACTCTACTGCTCGAGGATCCAAGTCCACTGCGAGGAAAACGCTCCTAAAGGAAGCAGTCCTCAGGCGAAAGAGCGGTCCACCAGCCATGTTGGCCTGTTCCCCTTCTTTGACCCCAGTGCAGCAGCCTCAGACTGGGGTAGCGAGCCATCATCACCACCGCTCACCTCCACCGGGTCAGCAGCAGCGCCCAGAGCCAGCCCCTCTCACCGCTCCAGCGTCCCCGAGCACACAGCGTGGGTCGCCTGTAGCTGAGAGTCAGCACCCCCGCTCCTCCTCTCCATGTGTTCAGCGGCGCTCAGGCTCGGGTCCTGCTTCGGGTGAACCCGCTGGTTCCGTCCACCGAGCTCCTTCTCCGAGGCCACTCTTCGCCCCGACCACTCTGATTATTGGAGATTCCATCGTGAGACACGTCCGCTTCTTCAACGCGGTCACTCGCTGTATTCCCGGAGCTACTGTACCAGACCTGCTCATACGTCTCCCTCCTCTGCTTCAGTCCCTGCCTGATACCGTTTCCAAGGTAGTCGTGCATGTGGGAATTAACGACATGAAACTTCAGCAGTCAGAAGTCACTAAGAAACATTTTATGGATCTGTTCCACCTCCTTCAATCCTCCGGACTATCTGTTTTTATTTCTGGTCCAATCCAGACTGTAAACAGAGGTGACTGCCTCTACAGTCGTGTTGTGGCGCTGCATGTGTGGCTTCAGGCTACATGCAGCTCTTTTAACTTTGTCTTTGTGAATAACTTTGCCCTTTTCTGGAAACGTTACGAAGCCTATCGTCCAGACGGATTACACCCAAACAGATACGGTAGCAGCCTGTTGATGGATTACATACGTTATGTTGTTCAGCGTTCCCCGAGGGGGGCGTGACTGTTTACATCTGAGCCCCCTCGGACCCCACCGCACTCCCCCGCCTCCTGCTCACCAGCACCGGGTGAGTACAACGGTGCAAACACTGCTCCCTGTCCGTCTGGCAGTGCATTACCAGTCCAAACACTGAACTGTGCTGACTCCCTTCTGACTCTGGGAGCTAAAGAACAACAAGGGTTTTCACATTTTAGGCCAATTGAGACTGTGTGTGTTCCTCGCACCAGCTCAAAAATGTTTTTAAATTCTAAAAAACGAAATCAAAACAGGACAGCAGTTAGACGGTCCAACTCTGCAAATCTAATTTCTGTTCCCTGTAGAAATCAATCAACCACATTAATCGACTCTGACGTTATTTTTAAACTTGCTATGCTTAATGTCAGATCTCTATGTAACAAATCATTTTTAATTAATAATTTTATCACTTCTTATGATCTTGATTTTATGCTTATGGCTGAAACATGGCTGGACCAAAATACAGGAAATGCAGTTCTAATAGAAGCAACACCACCCAATTTTAAATTCGAATCCGAAATACGAGAAAACAAAAGGGGGGGAGGCATAGCTGCAGTTTTTAGAGAGCACTTTTGTCTCCCATAGAATGCCCCTTGGAAATTTTTCATCGTTTGAGTATATTTCTTTTAAAATGGAACAAAAGCAATCTTCTACTCTTTTCATTGTCCTGTACAGGCCACCACAGTCATGTTGCGATTTTATTGACCATTTTACTGAACTACTTTCATTCGTGTGCACAGATTTTGATAGTTTAGTTATTACAGGTGATTTTAATGTACATGTTGATAATGTTGATGACAGAAATGCAAAGGAGCTGGCTTCTGTATTTGAGACCTTTGGTTTCATTCAGCACGTGAGTGGCCCCACCCACAGCAGGGGGCACACTCTTGACCTGCTAATTACAAAGGGGGTTAATGTATCAAATGTTAATGTAGTTGATGTTGCTTTGTCAGATCATTTCTGTGTATTTTTTGACATGTGTTTTGCTAGCAAACCACCAGCTGAATTTACAACTGTTAGAAGAAGACACATACATGAAAACACAAGTGAACTGTTCATGGGAATGCTAAATTTTGAGAAAACTCCATGCTCTACTGTTGATGAATTGTATAACTCTGTCACCACCAGTGTTCTGACTGTTCTGGACGCCATTGCTCCTGTGACGGTTAAAATAGTTACCAGTAAGAAAAAGGCCCCATGGACTAAGGCAGACTCGGTTAGGGCACAGAAGCAAGAGTGCCGGAGGGCCGAACGGAAGTGGCGAAAGTCCAATTTCCAGGGCGATTATGAAATCTTTAAAGATGAGTTGGGTGAATTTAACCGGGTTCTACGTAGAACAAGAGAAATGTATTTTTCTGACATTATTGGAGGTTGCAGTAACAATTTTCGTGTTATGTTTTCAACAGTTGGTAGATTAACGAACCCCCCTGTAAAGTTGCCCCTAGAATTTTCCTCTAAATCTAGGTGTAATGAGTTCGCACAGTTTTTCGATGACAAAGTACAAGGAATCAAAAACACTATCACCTCCACAGCACGTATAACAATGCAACAGCCAGAGAAGCTTTCTGAGCTAACTCACTTTGCACCTGTGGATACTGAAACTGTCAAAAAGATAATCATGAGTCTGAGCTCCTCCACATGTAGCCTGGATATATTGCCCTCTAAATTTCTGAAGTCCGTCCTGAGCAGTTTGTTACCTTCACTGACACAAATAGTAAACATGTCTCTGTCGTCAGGAACATTTCCTATGGCCCTAAAAACAGCAGTCATAAGACCTCTCCTAAAAAAGAGCAGTCTGGATCCTGCGGGACTTCAAAATTATCGCCCCATATCGAATCTGCCATTTATTGGAAAAATTCTTGAAAAACTGGCCTCCACTTACTGAATTTTTAACAATGAATAATTCTTTTGATATGTTCCAGTCTGGGTTTAGACCCCACCACAGCACTGAGACCGCTCTAGTGAAGGTAACAAACGACATTCGACTTCACACTGATGCAGGTAAAGTCACAGTTTTGGTCATGTTAGATCTTAGTGCCGCGTCGACACTGTCGACCATGAG